GGACCAAAACCATGGGTTAACCCCTTTGGAAAAATATCAATTTTTGAACTTGTTGAACTTCTTGTTTTTATAGCCGAGAAAGGCGTTTTTTCGTTTTAGAATATCGTAAAAAACATTTTCCTTGCCCATATTGCCAAAGAAAAAAAAGTTGGAAAAATGGCCATTTTTGGAGCAAAACCATTGGTTGACCCCTTTGCAAAAATGTCGATTTTTGGACTTTTTAAACTTTTTCTTTTTATAGCCTAGAAAGGCGTTTTTTCGTTCTAGAATATCGTAAAAGACATTTTCCTGGCCTGTATTGCCTAAAAAAAAAAGTTGGAAAAATGGCCATTTTTGGACCAAAACCATAGGTTAACTCGTTTGGAAAAATGTCAATTTTTCGACTTTTTGAACTTGTTGTTTTTATAGATTAGAAAGGCGTTTTTTCGTTCTAGAATATCGTAAAAGACATTTTCTTGGCCTATATTGCCTAAAAAAAAGTTGGAAAAATGGCCATTTTTGGACCAAAACCATGGGTTAACCCCTTCGGATGAATGTCAATTTTATGGACTTTTTGAACTTGTTGTTTTTATAGCTTAGTTAGGCGTTTTTGTTCTAGAATATCGTAAAAGGCATTTTCCTGAACTATATTGCCTAAAAAAAAGAGCTGGAAAAATGGCCAATTTTCTACGAAAACCATGGGTTAACCCCTTTGGAAAAATGTCAATTTTTTGACTTTTTGAACTTGTTGTTTTTATAGCCTAGTAAGGCGTTTTTTCGATCTAGAATATCGTAAAAGACATTTTCCTGGCTTATATTGCCTAGAAAAAAAAAGTTGGAAAAATGTCCATTTTTGGACCAAAACCATGGGTTAACCCCTTTGGAAAAATGTCAATTTTTTGGACTTTTTGAACTTGTTGTTTTTATAGCCTAGAAAGGCGTTTTTTTGTTGTAGAATATCTTAAAATACATTTTCCTTGCCTATATTGCCTAAAAAAAAAGTTGGACAAATGGCCATTTTTGGACCAAAACCATGGGTTAACCCCTTTGCAAAAATGTCAATTTTTGAACTTTTTGAACTTCTTGTTTTTATAGCCTAGAAAGGCCTTTTTTTCGTTCTAGGATATCGTAAAAGACATTTTCCTAACCTATATTGCCTTAAAATAAAAGTTGGAAAAATGGCCGTTTTTGGACTTAAAACCATGGGTTAACCGTTTTGGAAAAATGTCAATTTTTTGACTTTTTGAACTTTTTCTTATAGCCTAGAAAAGCGTTTTTTCGTTCTAGAACGAGAAAGCGCCTTTTTGGGGTATAAAAACAAGAAGTTAAAAAAGTCGATAAATTGGTTAACCAATGGTTATGGTCATCTTTTTCTTTTAGGCAATATAGGCCAGGAAAATGTGTTTTACGATATTCTAGAACGGAAAAACGCCTTTCTAGGCTATAAAAAGAAGACTCTCTAATAGTTGATAAATGGGGATTTTTCCAGAGGAGTTAGTCCATGGTTTTGGTGAAAATTGGCAATTTTTCCATCGTTTATTTTAGGCAAAATAGGCAAAGGAAATGTGTTTTACTAGTGCTGAAAAGAGAAAACGCCTTTCTAGACTATCCCTAGTGATGAACTTTATTAGTGACATTGATCTTTTTAGTAGCCTATCATTTTCAATTTCTTATGTATTCAAATCTCGCATGTGTAACGTTCATCTTTTCTCCTGTTTATCTGTATTCATTTTTCTTTTATAGCCCTCGTTGTAGGTTTTGTTGCAAACCGAAATATGGTTCAAATATAATTTACCACTTTATCTTTGTTTTCTTTGTTTATTTCCCCCCTCACTCTTCCTGCCTCAAGGATCAGTTTACTGTTTTGAATTTAAAATGTGGTATCCCTAGTGATATGGGTTTCCCAGGTAGGGGTAGGGTTTCAAGGCTAGGGGAACACATATCACTAGTGATATGGGTTTCCAGGTTAGGGGAACACATATCACTAGTGATATTGGTTTCTCAGGTAGGGGAACAGGTATCACTAGTGATATGTGTTAACAGTTTGGGAACAGATATCACTAGATGTGTTGCAAGTCAAGAGCTGTTTTGAAACAGCTGTCTATGGCTACAATCCCGCTCTGTTTTGAGTTCTTTCGGTGTTGTGTTGATGTCTTGCAAAGTTAATTTTCACTTAGTTTGAAGAGCTTTGTAGAATTCAATGTGTCTACTCGGTGTTTGTATTTGCTGACCAGGTCTTCTGTAGATCCTATGGTCTGAGGCATATTCGTTTGCGATCGTTTGCAGTTTAAATTTCCATGAACTCAAAGTACCTGTCATTTTACACCTTATCCAGGTTGACTTGTTTTGGAGAAATATCTCATTGAGAATGTTTAAAATACCATTTTAGAGCCTCCAGATTTCAAAATTTTCTGGGTGACGATGTCCCCAGACTACATCAAAAAACTAACGTCTACGGCGCGAGTTTTGAACCCCCTCGGCCTCCCCCCCGCTTCCCCAAGTTGAAATTGCGCTTCATCGGCCTGTAAAAGCATCGATTTGAGACCTATGAAATGAAAATACTGTAAAAGGAATATGGTTCAAGTTAGGTTATGTTCCCGTTCTCTTGTTTTGATTCTCAGCATGTTCGTTTTTTCCCCACCGTTTTCCGTTACACGTTTTAGTGCTAAGAGAGAAGAGTGGGAATTGAGAAGAGACTCTTACATAAGCCTTACCAAATATGACGAACGTGTATTGCTAAACGTTTAATCACTGTTTAATGGCTAAGGCTGAAACGATTGTTTCTTTTGCTTATTTGTTTTGTTTTGTTTTGCTCTTTATTTTCCCCGTCCATCGGCCCTCCTCTCTATGCCCCGAGGGCTGGGTCGATGGGCCGGGATTCCATCATTTGACTGACGTATCAAAAATAGTGTCCATATGGTGACCTTGCTGCCCGAAAACCATTACATATTTAGCTGAGCATGAGAACTTCGACTGATATCATACGGTGTCTATGTGAACGTCGTACCCCTGACCACTGAATTTCTTTGCGCCGGTTTCAGGCAGAAAAATTGGGAAAGAAAGAAAATAGGGGAGGTCTCTCGGCCATAGCGTATGAGTCATTGGTCTCCTACAAAAGACGGAATGAAATTCAAATAAAAGTCACTCCCCCCTCCACAAAGATGGTTACTAAATGTCCCAACTGAAGAGACTAAAATTTTACAGGTGTCGCGTTAGTTCGCTGCCTGATAATCCTTTTGGCAAAAGACCTAAATTTGCTTTGAATGAATTTTTTGTTTTTAAGGAGTTGGAAACGGGCTATTTTAAAAATGAGACGTCTTACCTTGCCTCTGTGGTGTCAGTATTTACTCGTCCTCTGGGCGTTTCCCCTGCTGCTACAGGACGTTGTCTTTGATTTAATTCCCCCTACTGAAAAGGAACAAGATACAACAGACGCAATTTGCCTTCAAGCGCTGTTATTGGCATTCCATTGTGAGTGGTTCGCTCATAGTGGCAAAAATCGTGCTCGGCAGTTTGCACCGGCTGTACTGAAACGTTCTCTATGCTTGATATATTTTCTTAGGTAATAACGGAGTTTTTCTGTTCGTCGACTATGGTCCACATTCTTTCGTGACCCCGCGTTATGTAACTTCATCGTACTTTTACAGCTTTCAAAATGTTCGACATATCTACATGGCACGCTGGCGTGGCTACTCGCGTGGTCCACTGTGTGATGTAACACTGTAGCAGTTTTTAAAGGATATCGTATCAAAAGTGAGCTTTCCACTCGTGATACTTTAACCCTGGGAAACGCTTGTGAGTGACTCAAAATTAAGCGAAAAAGTTCAATAAGGCTGTAGCCTCGCGCGTGACTCACTTCTTACGATATGGAGAGCTATTAAGCAATTTAAGGCGATTTTCCTTAAAGCCAATTAAGTCTTGTTTTTCTATTGTAGCTTTATGAAGAGTTTTTACTTTTCATCATACCAACAATTTTTTTTTACTTTGCCCCGCTGTCCATTGTTCTTTTTTGCAAAACATCTGCTTTTTTGCACAAGAAATTCTTTTTCAGCTTTGCTGTGATCGTGACAAGCGCATTGTAGAATAGATCGACTTTGATTGGCCAGTTGTACCATAAAATATATAGTCCATGTGTTCTTTGATGCAGTTTTGGCAAGTCTTCAATGCAGCATCAGAGTTATTTTTAGGGAACAAAGGCCCTTGAAATTAAAGGTTTTATGCAAAATAGATGACTTTATATCCTCTTGACCTCTGATTCGGAGCTGTCGGTCGCATTCTACTTTGCATTGTGTGAAAGGAGTCCCTATATTTGTAACAGCCTCCTAGATATCGCTTCAGGCCTTGCGTCAGGATATTTGGAGTGTAAAATTAGGCTAATACACCGTGTTGACGAGGTACATTTTTCATCAAGATTTACGGTGACACAGGCTAAGAGACCAACAGAACTTTTATTTAGCTTACTTGTTCTATAAATACTGCATTGTACTTCTTAATATATAGGTGACAATTCGTGACTCTTTAAGTTAGTAAAAAGAAGAATTAGTGTTATAGACCGGATATGGCTAAGAGGATCTTTTGACCGCCTAAGGACCAGACCCTTCAGCAAAGCAATCATTTAATAGATCATAGGGAACGGTTGAACAATCGAAGTGTCAGCTATCATCCAATTTGTCTTCAACTCTGTCAATAAAGCCAAAAATTTGCTTTAGATTCTTCTGGTTCAAAGCACGTGCACACGTCAGTTATCATACATTGTTCACATTTGTTGTACCTTCTGCAAGCCATGCAACTATTGTCTGCCGGCACACATCCAAAGTTGATACCGAGCTAAAAATCCATAGTCCATTGCACTATGGAGCTCACGTTGCATTTTTAAGATATATTCCAGGGACGAGATCTTATCGCATCCATACCTGAGTTGACAACCGTTGTTGTTGCACCAGTGACCTAAAAAGAACCAGTAGCTTTCAATCTCAGGCGATATCTGTGTAGATACAGAGTTTATTTCTCTTCAAGACAACATGGAACAACGCTTTCAGTTAAAGAGACAGCCTCTTCGATTTTTCTTCATTGGGAGTTGGCTATGTTTCACCTTTTTAGGTAAGTTTACACCCGTTTAAACTCCTCCCGTCCAACAGTGCCCCGCGTCAAACTTAAATTACAAGTTTTATTTTCTTAAGCAGTGAAAAATAAACATTCACCACGTGAAATCCGCTTTTCTTAATGGGTTTCAATTAGATTAGAACTATATCAAAAGTCTTTATAATTGTCTTTAGGAATGAGGAGAGTGTAGAAAACGTTTTGTAAAACAGCCTTTTAATTTTTCCCCTTTCGAACACATGAGTTCATCACCGCAAAGAAGTCATTTAAATTGGCTACTTTTGTTGAAAATTGAGGTATAATTTCACCCCTCAATTTCTCACCCAAAGAAACTAAAAACTGACGATTTTTATTTTGCTTGGGTCCAAGAAAACGTCGATTTTGAGTTTCATTTACTTTCAAAGCGATGTGGTAAACTTTTTCATGCTTACAAGAATACCAGTTTCTGAGACATGAGTTTTCTGAAACTTAAGTTGCTTTTCACTTTTCTTTTTTGCATGCAAGCTACGTCGTAAGATGCATATTTTAGATACCCAGAGCGCTGAATAATCTATAAGAATTTCGTATCTTTTATATCTGGCAAAAAAACAACAAGAAACAAGGAGATGGAAAAATAGGATAGGTATACCAATAAAAGATAACTTAAAAAGTTTCAGTTTTACATCTGTTAGATCTGTGTGATTGATTATTATGTAATTAGAACATACCACAGAAATTCATGCATTTTTATGATATTTCAATATCATCTATCTCAGTTTCTTTTCCTCTCTTTGTTTTCGCTTTTTTTCTTGCTATTTTGTTTGAAAATGACGGACATGTCTAGTATGAAAAAAGTGAGCGGAAATCAAAATTCAAGAGTTTAATTCATCACCCTTATAAATTTAGAATTCTTGATCAATTACGTTACGTAACAACGTAAAATGCACAAATGTCACAAATACGTCTTAAAAAGTACTTTTTTGTCGCCTGAAAGATATAGCAAAGTTGTTACTAATATGATTTAGGGTTGTGCAAAGGTACCTTTGATGTGCGTCAAAGGCATTATATCTTTGACGTGCTAAACATTAGACTCTTTCTAGCCTCTTCAGTGATAGCTTTTAATGCTTTGATGCCTGTACATGTTGCATTCCGACTTTGTGTCACATCTTTTAAGTCAATCAAGTGGTCAAAAGCACTTTTTGTCCCGTGATTGGCGTTGTAAATAAATCCAATAAGTATTAGTTTGGAATTGCAGTAAAGATGACCGATCAACAAATGTTAATAATGGTCTTTCTGGTCATGCGGTCTGTATGATTAACGATTAGTATAAATTAAGAATATTAAGGTTTTCGGCGGCTGAGTTTAATACGTTTTCATGCTAACGGAAACAGAAACACTCCTGCACACACCGTCTGAAAGTGAATCAAACTGACTTTCATAAATCGCACAGTAAACCACTTATCGGACACTTACACCTCAAGTACATCAGCAGATCAGAGTAGCAAGATTATTCATCTGACTTTTCATAATCGTTTTCGTCTTTTAGTTCGATCCTAGAAAAGAAATCGATTTAAAGTCCTTTTATTGAGAGCACTTTCAGTTACATCGCTTTGGCAACTGATTTTCATTGCTACGAGCGCTCTAAAACTGTTCAGGAGTGTAACACAAATTCATTTTAAGTGAAAGGCCAAGTTTCTTTGTTTTGCATGGCATATTTTGCAGTGATCTGTTAAATTACTGAATGTCTACGGTTTTGCATTCCATACGCATACAAACCTTGTTACGTAATGTAGTGAGCAACTATCACATTATGTCACGTGATGCTACTGTCTATCACGCGAGACCGGGAGACCAGCATCACGTCTGGTGAGCGAGTAGTCACAGGTAGCCCAAACTCACGTGTGAGAATCATTGCGTAACCATTGGTAACAGAACTTCTAATAAGGGTTGGTATGGGGACTTGACGACGATCGTTATTTAATAACACTTAAAATAAATCCGAACTTCTTACCTTGTCTCCTTGTTTTATTTATGGTTTGTTCATAGTATTTTTGACAGTTTGAGGGCGATTCCAGCGATTTCTCGATAACGTCGTTATACCAAACATTTTTGTTACGCAACAGCGATTCTCACACGTGAGCTTGGGGTACCTGTGGAGCAACTTTTGCATTGCATGTACCACATGTTTTAGGTGTATTTTGGCAGGATCGAGACACATTCTCTCTTGATTTTGGTTAATGTATCTTCATTTACTGTCAGACTGTCAAGAAACTGACCAAATAATTTTTCAACTCTGAGCTTAAATGTCAAGCCACTTTGTTTTGCACGGCGCATTTCACGGTGATCTGACAGGACTTCAAGCTCAGTTCAGTCAAATAGGCCTTTTCGTAAGGTTTGCTGTACATTAATCGTTGTTTCACGTCTTTCCCAGTATTCCTACACGAACAAACTTTATAAAATCATGCCATAGGCAGTGATCACATGTTCCTAACAACATTCACTACCCTCGATCACGCGTGGCAATTAGAGATCGGGAGACCAACATCACGTCAGTGCAGCGTGCATGGTTAGATTTCAGGCATTCTGCGTTCCGTATATCACATGGTGTGTGTATATTTCGGTGTATATTTCTGCATTCTTTGTCACGCGAAGGCAGTGTTAGGTTGAAGGTCCCTTGACGAATGACCGGCTATTTCGAGTGTCTGTCGAAAAGAAGATGTCTTTTAAGTATTTATCCTGAAAAACAGGATTAGACAAACGGCCCGCCAACATGTCGTATTGCAAAAAGGTGCGAACTTTACTATTGATTGTAGCATACTTACGATTGTTTTAAAAAGCCAAATTTACAAACACTTCTCTATTAATCTCTAGTTTCCCCACTAACTACAGTGGTAACAAAATATCTTCTCAATCTAAATAAAGCAGAAATCCTATAAGGGAACATGTGGAATTGTAAACTGTTCTGTGGCTATTGTTTTTAAACGCTTACGATTGGTTGAATTCTCTCAACACACAAAAAAACATCCTTTCAAGATGGGGTCAGTTTAAAGACGTTATATTTATAAACTGTTTTTTTAATGGGCCGACGGATTCTCTATGTGGAAATAGAAACATTAATTCTCGAGTGGGAAAAAGGCATAGCCGCAAAACAAAAGAACATAATACAGTTTTAACCATGATCATTCCCAGTTTTAAGAGAAGCATTTCATTTCAACATACAGTCTTTGTTAGACACTAAATGGTGATATTGGCAAAGGCCCTGATTAAATAAAAAGCTTGCATCCAACATAAAATTAACGTAACATCCGTTATGTCAGTGTAATGTGACTTAATCATTTTATTCTTCTAAACAAATTGTCTGAATCCTCGCCTTCTACTTCCATTAATTAACCCTGTCAAATAAATGCAGTAATCATCTGTGCACAATTGTAACCATATACATTTTTCTCATTTTTCCTTGAATCCGTATAATTAATTACAGGGAAGATGTGAATAATAACCCTTTTAAGGGTAAAGCTTGAAAGCTTTACCGGTTCCTAGCGCCTAAATTAGCCGTCAGCTATTTGTACCTGTAAATTCCTTTCTTTTTAATTTAATTACTGAAAATGGAATTATAACAGTAAAATAATGAAATACGTTCCTGAAAAGCTAAAGATCAGTCTAGTAAAATAAAGTGAGAGACCTACATCACGTTATCATCTCACACGCTCCATTCACGTGCTGCAGTCTCGAATAGAATTTAGGGTTACGATGATACCTGGATTGTTTGGGTCTTTTTACCCACTGAAATTTCAGTTTTCTTAAGGGTAGGGAAGTAAACAATTATGAACCCAATAAATACCAAGTAATTGTCATTCTCTTTAAATTTTCTCGTCATTTTAATACGAGTTCCTGAAGTGACTAGCCTGCCGTCACACTGATATATCTAGGTTTATATACAGGTTTTGACCCAGGAAATTTTCTTTGCTGGTTTGTCATTATAGTTCATTTTAGAGACAAGTTTGTCTGCGCCGCAGTGATTCTTTCCTACTTGGAGGTTTTAATTGATTTTTTAAAAGGTTTTTGAAATTCCACAGTCTTCAAAAAGCTTCAAAATGCCGACTCTCCTGTATTATGCTGTATATATTTCGTGTTTCCTCCTCAAAAGCAAGGGTAAATATCAAGACGATTCTGACAATGCCAAGAAGATATAAGATAAGTGATCACTAGCACGTTTCTAACTCTGCGTTTTTCTTTAGCTTCAAGTGCAGCTGCCTCGTCCCCGTCAAATGTGTCCAATAGTAATGCTACTTCATCAAGTGCCCCAGGTGAGCGACGGATGGAACATCATCAGAATTTTTTTTATGTGTTCCTAGTTTCTAATACTGCATTATTTTCTTCACCTCTTGCAGTATCAAGTACTTCAAGTTTAGTTCGCCCCTCGACAACTGTGTCCAGCTTTATTGCTATTTCGTCAAGTGCCGCAGGCCTCGCAGGTGAGCAAAGGATGCAACATCATTGCATTTTCGATGTGGTTCTAAAGTAATCCCTTTACTAACATTGTACCTTCTATCATTTTACTTACAGCTTCACAATCAACGTCCCCCATACTGAGCACAACAAGTGTATCTCAACCCTCAAATACACCGCCAAAAGCAGGCATTAGCAGTGTTCCCGGTAAGTAGTTTTTTGCTTTCCTCACGGTATGAGCGACAGAAAGTCGCCTCGCGATAAGACGCGCGCGACGCGTGGGAAGCGATTTTCCTACACTTTCGTGTCAGACAATGTGCGGAAATGAGCAAATTTTTATGTTTTCTATAGAGCCTGAAAGTTTATTCTGCATCCATCTGAGCTTCCTTCCTATCTTTCAAAACATAACATTCGTCCTTTTTGTCTTTTTGTCTTATAGCTTCGCAATCAAGTGTCGTCATAGGGACTTCGTCACCTGTTTTTCCTCAAAATTCGAATAATACAGCGGTCAACGGTACTGGTAAGTTTTTAACACAATGATGGGATCTTATGCAGCTTCTTTTTTATCCTTAAACATGCAAACAGCTAAAACACGACCAAAAATAACGATTCAGCTGCTGCAATTAAAGTTGTTAATTTTTTTTGAACCGCAAGACCACAAGGTCATGGATAAGCTGCGGGATTTTCTAGGGCATTCCGACGACAGGATTTTACTTTTTCTCCCCTGACTGTGCCACGACAGCTTATTCTATTATTTGTCTGGTTTGTCAATTACTCACTGCTTAAAACTCAACGTTAACGCACAGGGCAAAATCGCAGTTTTCACTGGCAACAGACTTGTCTCCCAAATGTCGTAATTTAACGTTGCTAGCAACAGACTCGAATAATAATAATAATAATAATAATAATGACGATGATGATGATGATGATAATGAATTGATCGGCTGAATTGTTTTCAAACCGTTAGCAACGTGTCTTAAAAAGCCCTCCTAATTTTAATCATCCATGCCTTATTTTGTATTTGCAGAACTATTTAAATGCTCTGAATGAAAAGAAAAAAAACAATTCACCTTAACATATTAATAATGAACCAGTCAATCTTGGCTAACATGATTACGCGATAAAGCTCTTTTTTACTCTCGTTGTCTGTAGATTCGCCAACAGTTGATGAAGCCTCTAGCCGAGACCTGTGGCGTACTGTTGGTATTGCTGTTGGAGTTTCCTCGGGATATCTTCTTCTTGTCGCCGGGCTGAGCTTCTATGTCGAATGGCGACGATCGAAGCGTCCATCAAAGAAATCAGAGGTGAAGAAAGTGTCTGCTTCACCGGCGTCTGCAAATGGTAAAGGATTTTCTGTTTCTTTTACATTTTAGTAAATTCAAATATTTATCGTCAGCCTCATGCAATATTATGACTTTTACCCCACATGCCAAACTACCTTTTAAATTGGGTCTAGGAAATTTTGATTATAACGGCAATACCTCCCTCGTTTTGAGGATTCATTATGCCACCTCTAACAAATTTTTTGGAAAATGGTTACCAGGCTTTCATACTTTCTTTAAACTTAGTTTCTTATGCATTTTTTCTCCTTTATCATAGTCAACGCCGCTTTTACTGGAGACGTTGAAGAACAAGTTGCAAACGGCCATGTTGTCGACGGCACTAACATGGTTATGAAGGAGAAGCAGAACAGCTCTTTGACTTCTCACACTGACTATGACAATATGAAGTTTCCCAGGCACGATCTGGAATTACTGAAGATCCTGGGTAACGGTGCCTATGGTCGAGCCTACTTGGTGCTAGCTACTGGCATTTGTGATTGTGAAGATAAAACCACGGTTGTTGTCAAGTCGTTGCTTAGTGATGACGAGATAGCGCGTGAAGAGTTCAATTACGAAATGAACGCTTTACGTGGATTGCAACATAAAAATGTTATCACGCTACTTGGCTTCTGCAACGAGGTTGAGCCCACTTACCTGATATTTGAATCAGTGAATAAGGTATGTATTTTTCAGTTAACGCTTACTAACTGATCCAAAGGGAAACAGACTCTCTCCGTGTGCACGTTTGCCTCTCTGACGTCAATTTCGCAATGCTGGCTGCATGCGCACTAAGGGTTTTGGCGGGAACTGACTGTGTATTGTACGACTCGAAGGAGCCTGAGAAAGCGCAGACGCACAGAAGAGAGCATTGAAGTTTGATGAATAACGCAAGAACCTAGTCGCTAAAAGATCTATTTTCTCCCCTGCGTATTACTTGATTTCTTCCGTTTCTTAATATATATGAGAGTTGACTCCGGTTTGTTTGTTTTTGTTTTTGTCTTTTGCTGTTTAGTGTTTTGTGATGTCAACGTTCCCACTAAAGAACACTTGTGTTTATTTTCTGGAAAACAACTGAACTAGAGGGGCGAATATTATTATTCAACTAATTTATCTGTTGGGTTTCTCTTTCTCTATCAGGGTGACCTAAAGCAGTTATTACTGGCAAGTGAAAATAATAATCAAAGCACACTGAACTTAAATCAGAAACTCGCCATCTGCGAACAAGTCGCTTCCGGGATGACTTATCTCAGCTCGCAGAACTTTGTTCACAAGGATCTCGCGGCGAGAAACTGCTTGGTCGCAGAAGACCTTCAGGTAAAGATAAGCTTCCTGAAGCTCAGTTCAGACGTGTACAGTGCCGAGTACCACAGCCTCAATAACGTTAAGGTGCCCCTCCGATGGATGCCTCCTGAGGCGATTTTTGATAACAATTTCTCTGAAAAGAGTGATGTCTGGTCATACGGTGTTTTAGTATGGGAGATTTTCTCGTCTGGTAAGATGCCGTATAATGACTTGTCAAACGACGAAGTCTTGAAATGCGCCCGATATGGCCTTCATCTTACCAACCCTGATAACTGTCCTGCTAGCGTGTCGAAGGCTGTGCAGAAATGCTGGGAGGCAAACCCGCTCGAACGACCGACTTTCTCAGAGCTGTTGGTTGTACTTAACAGCGCTGGAATGGACACTCACCTATGATGCCCGTTTTTTAAGGGACTGCGACTTTTGTCGATCAGGAATGATCACTTCCACTGAAGCTGAGCAAAACCCTTAAGATATCCCGCAGATCCAAGAAGCTTTTAATATGATTGGCTGCGCAGTTTTTAAGCAATATATTTGCTTAGCTTGAACTTAATGCTTGCCTTCACAACCGTTTTTTGTCGTTACAAAACGTTCCTTCCCATAGTGCATTGAGTGTTTTGGCGGGAACTGACTGTTTGCTCGACCGCTAGGCATCGGCCGACTTCGAGTAGCCAATGAGAACGCAAATGCAAACCCACAAAGTTGAAAAATTCGAAGGGGAGGAACGTTGCGTGACCACACAAAAAAGGCTGAGAAGGAAACTATTTCTTCCACAGCCTTTCACGTAAGAAATGGAAGATTAGATTCCTTCAATTTAGTTTGAATTCGCAATTTTGTGTCTTGAATGAGGCATAGTCCGCGCTTGTTCAACAAAACCGTCAGCTACGCAGACTATTGATCATTTAAATTTCAGAGCCATCTTTCAAGGTGTGTAACTGGTTAAGTTTTCCAGGTTTGTGAGTGAAAAAAAATAATAAAAACGCTCGCGGTTAGAAAAAATAAACTTCGATGAAGACAATTCTAGTACTACTTGTCACGTGTTGCTCTGGTTAACTTTTCCAGGTTTGTGAGTGAAAAAAAAAAAAAGAAAAACGCTCGTTGTTAGAAAAAATAAACTTCGATGAAGACAATTCTAGTACTACTTGTCACGTGTTGCTCTTGTCTTTTTCATGGCTGTTTAAAACATGATAGAAATTTCTTAGTTGTTGTTTGGCTACTTTTGTGGTAACGAGTAGCTAGGAGTATACTAGACAAAAGTGATAACGCATTTATAGTCAATGGTCTTTTTGTGTGAGTATCTATGTTGGCGCCTCAGTTTTTTCCCGTCTAAACAGTTTGTGTATGTAACAATTATCTAATGTATTTATTTTGTCAACTTAATCGCTGCAAGCTTTGACAGTTCCACAAAAGAATAATGCGATATTATACAAATGTATTAGCAGCAAGGTAGCGTGAAATAAAATGCTTTCAAAATATCCAGTTTTATTGTCTTCTTTTATAATCCGTTCAATACATTCGCACGACTTGGTAAATCTTGGGCCACAATTTTCCATTGATTTTAGTAGATAATGTACAGCATTAAGAAGACATTTGTATCAAGTGAATCTCATATTGAGTCGACACCGTTTTAATGAATTGGATCCTATAGTAAGTGGACAACTGTATTAAGTGGGTATCTGTCAGTTTCCATATTAAGTGAACACCTGCATTAAGTGGACACCATATGAAGTCGATATCAGCACCTGTATTGACAGGGCACTGGCATTAAGTGGACACCTATATTAAGTGGAAGACTTGCATTTAACAAAACACGAATTAAGGCAAGGGCTACCCCACTTTTTCTGTTGAACGCATGCACTTCAGTTATATACAGACGCTACTACGTATCTGATTAAGAGAACAATTTAATATTAAGAGTCCCATGAGTGTTGCGAATCTTCTCAAACAGACAAATTCTCAGTGCGATAAGCAGTGCAGCGTAATATTCAAGAACATAACATTGTTCTTATAAATGTTAATGTACATAACGTCAGGAAAGTCCGGCTAAAAATGAGTTTGTTGGCAGAATTTGAGAAAGCTTCCAAATCTGGCCCCGAAGGATTTTGTCTTGTTTCGTCTTCTTTTCCTGAAGATAAAAGCAAAATGGATAAAAACTCCGTTAATGAAATACCGTAAAATTCCGAAAATAAGCCCCTCCATGTATAAGCCCCTTCAAATATAAGCCCCCCCAAACCGGTAACGCAAAAAACCCTCCGTTAAATCGCCCCTCCAAATATAAGCCCCCCGGGGGCTTGTATTTGGAAAATTGCCCTCAAATACATAGTAAAACAAAGCAAAAACGGCAAATTTACTTCCAACTATAAGGCTAGCCTAATCGATTCAAAACGCAAATTTCCTCCCGTAGAAAAGTCCCTCCGAATAAATGTAAGCCCATCAAAAAGGGCCTTTGAAAAATATAAGCCCCAGGGCTTATTTCCGGAATTTTAATGTAGCTTTGAAGTGTAGTAAAAATAAGTTACGCATGTCTATGGCGTTGATAAAGGCGGTAGTTCTTGCAAGACAGTGAACAATATACAACAAAAGATCGAAGAGACGTTCGGTGCAATCGGTGCTTTCTTCATTTTTTTTCCCAACAGACACTCTACTTTAAATACTAGTTTGTTAGAGGGTTTGCTATCAAATAATTCTTTGAATCTTATGCAGACCAATAAGAAGGTAATAAACCTACTTTATATCAACTGACAGTTAGAATTTGACGACTAATAGGCAGGAAAAGTGTGACGTCACTTTAACATGTAGCAAAATGTCTGAATCTTATCGATCTTTCTTGAAAGAGACGACCATTTGCTTTGTCGAACTATCCGCTAACGTTTTGTTCCTGAGTGCAATCATGCACTGAAAGGCCATACATGTCAATTTTTTCCCCATTTTTTTGTCATATTTAAAGGACCACGGTTTCTTGAGATCCAGAAACTTTGCTACCATGGAAGCGTTACGTAACGACTCCTACTTTCTATTCTGGGCGATAAAAAGTTGAATTCGGGTGAGCGTGGCAGCGAACAGCTGAAAAAATGGATCAGTTGAGGGTTTCAAGGTAACTGACTCGCACCAACCCCTCCCCTAAGTTCCCCTAAGTCAACATTATTACTTCGTTCTCAATGAAAATAGAGCAAAATTGTGACTCAGGGAAGGGGTAGGTGGTCGATTACCCAGAAACCTCGATTGATCGAAAAAATAACTCTACCTTTTACTTCGAGATGCACTGTCCTTTGTCTCAAATCAGTACGAGTCGCCACAAGACAAAAATATCGCCCCATGTCACTGTATTGTACATCCTTGATACGTAGAGATCCATTAGCGTACGCTCTATATTTTTCTTCGTTCAGGGGTCGGCCTCCTTGGTCAGCCTTAAGCCACGTAATTTTAGGTTTTGGGCTTCCTGTGGCAGCACAGTGGAACCAGACAGATTCATTAATGAAAGCGGTCTGGTTTCTTGGCTCTATCAGGAACCTCAACGGATCTGTTGAGAACACATTCATGTGATGATACTTTCAATATTCAAGTACCCTGTGTTCGCAGCCCTGTTAATGATCATGATTTCTAAAGATCTTCACGACACTTCTTCAGATTCGTTCCAGCAATTAAATGATTTAAACATAATTATTTCTATTGGCAACTGACTAACACTAAATATTAATTTAGTGAATCATTTCATATCCAGTGATCTATTCTGGCCCTGAGCGCGCACATACATAATATAATTGGCTCACAGTAAATAAAATACAACAGTTATGAATCCCGTTAGACTTCTTTCTTATAAGTTTTAGTTACCTTTTTTGGACCTGATCGTGCACAACGTTCAATAGCATTCCTATCATATGCATTTTGAAATTTCTGACCAATAAAAAACGTCACATTAAATTCTTCAGTTACAATTTAACCTGCAGCACCGTTGTTCGAGGGTTATTTTTTGATGTTTGCGGCTTTCATATCCAGTCTCCTCTGCTAACTATAATGGGCTCGATCATCTTCCATCGCCCCTTTGTTTTGTGCTTAGGAAAAGCTAAATTAATAGACCATTTTGGATATGTTAAAAGTCATACTTGGCTCCGAGGCTTGGAGGAATAAACCAAAAGAAATGTATTATTCATTGCTAAGCCTCAAGATGATTAATTTTTTTTTGTTTCATTCCCCCAAGCCTCGCAGCCAGGTATGAAGTTTAATATACTGCAATTGGTCTATTATTGATACCTACGCTTTTTACTTCACTTACCATAAACAGACACGTTAACGTAAGTGGCCTGTGAGCTAAAAGCGTTCGATCCATTACAGATATACTGGCCAGCATCTGAAAGTGCGACCCTCTTTATCACCAGTGAATTCCCATTCTGCTCCACTCTGAATGGTAGCTCGTCTGTGCCTTTCTTTGTCCACGTGACTGTGATTGGCGGGCTGCCATGGAAATCGCACGTGATTTTTCGGCGTGCGCCCAGGAATGCTTCTACAGTGAGCTTATGGGAAGGGTTTATTTTTATGACGTCACTTTCTGTAAGAAAAGAAAATAAATTGCTAACTGTTTTAATCGGTTCAGAAATCACGAAATACTCTAAGGACACACGTAAATGACAGCACGTAAATAAATTATATAGCTGATCATTCAACGTGAAGTGTTTCAGTAGTAATTGATTAATTAATACAGTCTTTCACTTAAGAATAAAGGGGGAGCTTAAAAGAGAGAGGGGCTTTATAACTCTCTTTCCCTGAAAAGAGTGGGATGGGGGGGGCTTATTAGAGGGTTTACCGAATCTGTTTATAAATATCAATGGGCATTAGGAGCATCCGATCAATTTAAGTTTCTGGGAAACTGCTCACCCACCCCTCCCCTAAGTTAACTTTAACACTCACGTCTCACTTAGGGCACAATATTGGCTTTGGGGAGGGGTAGGTGGAACACGAGGATATTGCTATTTTAGGGCGGTCCTGTGCTGAAGTCATCACTTAGTGCATTTATCCATACACAAAATGAAGAAGATATCAGACAGATTTCCCAAGGGAGCACTAACCATAACAATTTTCTGCTGATGAGCTTTATTTGCAGGCATAGCATTAAAAACTTGAAAAAAAATCGCCAAGCTTCAATTCATGTCTATCCCTGCCATCTGTAGCAACAGGCGACAGCAAACAGTTTCAATGCTTCAATGACCCTCAATATACTGCACCATTATTTTTGAAATTCCACTAACACGAAGACACGTGATAGAAAGATAGCAACAGGGGTGACATAACCCTTTCAAGCGACTTCTCGCTCCACATACTGGAATCCGGATTCCAGATCCGGGAAATTTCTGCTGTGGAATTTGGAATCCGGGAAATTTGAATTCTGAAATCGGCACTCCGGGGCTTTGGAATCCGGAGTACAGCTCAAGAAATCCGGAATCCTTCTAATGATTTGAATCCGGACTGCAACTTCCACTGAGAAAGAATCTCAAATCCATTACCTGGAATCCAGAATCCGCGGTGTGGAATCAAGAATCCAAGACTGTCATGGATTCTCTTACATGAGGCGAAACTTGTCATTAATTTACGACAAGAGAGCTCATTTATGAAAGATAGTTGTACATACGAATCTCTCACCTATGACTCTAAGAGTCACTTTTACTTCCTTTAAATCATGAATGTTAGCTGCAATGCAAAAATACTGCCCAGCATCCGTCATTTTTATGTCTCTTATATGGAGATTTCCATTTGCAAGCTGTCTGAATCTCTTCTTATCTAATTTTCCACGCTCTCTTCCCCAGCTGATCTCGGATGTTGGGAGGCCTGTGGCATTACATCGTAGCACTATCGATTTGCCTACGGCTGCCGTCGTGTTTCTTGGTGTTGTTATAAAATTGACTGCAGGAACAATCAAGAAAAAAAAAGGTCAACAATAAAATGTTTTGTACGATTTTTTTGGCATTATACTGACTGAGTGGAAGGAGTGCCATGGAGAAAGATGCCAACAAACAAACAAAAAAAAGCTAAAGGCTGGAAAATATTGTAATACAGTTAACACCCGCAAATAAGAAACTAGCTGATTAAGAACCTCCTGGTAGAAATTTGCCTCTTTAATACCCAAAAATACAAGAACCTGTTTAGTCAAGCAAGATCAAGCAGGTTATTATATCTTGGTTACAGTTAAATCACTGTGATAAATAATTTAACTAAGGAGTGTAACTTTGAGATTAGTAATTTAAGTATAACAAGAATATACCATACTAAACTGGACTTAAATTCTGTAATCATTTTTGTTAGGGTTACAGTTATAATACATTTGCGAATAAATACTGGATATTTAAGACCAAGGCCAAGTTAATTTTTTTTCTGGTGATCAACTATCTATTATCTCCTTATTAGAAATTTGATTAGCTTCTTAAAAGAAGCTAATCAAGAACCTACGCAGCCTAACTTGCGAATAAGTACCCCACAATACAAGAACCTATTTTACCAGACTTCTTAAAAGTAGTTGATTCGCTGGTGTTTACTGTATTGTTAGTGACATTTTGTGTTGAAGCCTTGGTGTAGGGGGATACCAACTGCTTAAGGGTTGATTTCTACTGTCGCGTAATTTTTCCGTGTGAACGCATGTAAATTTTACGCGCTTGAATAAAATGGAGGCAATGTATGAAAGGGCGCGCGTTAACGTAAAAGTTGAACGAGGTTAACCTTTTACGCGTTCGGTGGCGTAAAAATTACGCGACAGTGGAAGTCAACCTTAAGAGACAACAAAAACAGCCACCTCTAATTTTAATCTACAACTTACTTGGGACAAAAATCTTTGTTTTTCGAGACGTTGTTCCCATAACATTTCTAGCACCACATTCGTAGAAACCAATATTCTCAGCTTGGAGATCCCTCAAAATGAGCGTCCCGTTGACATAGATGGTGTATTTTGAATCATTTTTGATAGAATTCTTGACGTGTTCAGACCACTCGAGACCAGCATAGTACCAATACATTAAGGGAGGTGGTGTACCCGTTGCTAGGCAATTCAAGCGAACAGTTTGCCCTTTTGAAACTTCCAAAGTGGTGGGCGGGGGAACTGTTATTCGAGGTGTTGAGCCCACTGTAGAAAAAAGGGACACAAAATCCTTTAATATTTTCAAGAATGACTAATTCTGTGACTCTCTATTTTCGTCAAACAATGCTTGTGGTTAACGTTTTAACTCATCGAGTCTTTTTGCAGTTGCGGAAGTTTGCATTTTGGAGGCATGCGGTCCTTTGCAGTTGGTTGTTTGGCTTAGTCGTTTGATTCATTGCTGTTTCCTGCATATGGTTGTTCGTATTTCTAAGGAACTAGCATGCATGTAGGGTGATTTAAACCATAGGATTGTAATGTGTCCTTTTTTGTGTAACTAGCAGTGCAAACCTCGAGAAAAGATGTTTTATTATTCGTGATTGCTCGGATAAAATCACGTTTAGCCTCCCACAAAGCTGTCCATTTCAATAGGTGAGCGAAGCGAGGCGCGCGAGGACGCGCCTCTTTTCATGTGCCCCCGCGCGCAACTACCACGATATCACACTAACTTTATACAAGTTCCATGCATGTTTGTCTTCTTACCCCAAATTTCGACTGTTTCTGATTTTGCCGTGCCAAGTTCAGCGACAGTCACATAGCAAGTGTAATTTCCACTGTCAGCAAAGCTGGTACTGTTAATATTCAATTTTCTCTGGTCAACTGTGATTCTCCCATTGGTTGCACTGACTGTGACGCCGTTCTTAATCCATCTTGTGGTTCCTGGACTCGAACTAGGGCAGCGACAGCGTAAAGATAATATCGTTCCGATGGCAAACTTCTTACCTTGGGCTCGTCGAGTCGTTATTGTAGCCTCGCTGCACATACCTAAATTAAAATATAAAGTTATATGCTCTTCCTCGAATGGTAGATGGTGGCAAAAAAAGGATATGGCGAAGAATGAAAGAGGGATGATCATTTTTTGATTAATAATCGAGAGTGGAGATTATTTTCAAATTTTCTCACAGTAGTCAAGGATAAGCAGCATCCATATATTAAACTTTCACTCTAATATGCTATTAAATGTGTACTTATCCGGTCTTACAATATTTTTAAGTGTGATTTTAACGTATTGTTCTGGTACGCTATAACACATCATTCCATCGGATATCTCCCATTAAAACCCTACTTCATTATTATAAGTGTGATATTCATTGTAATTTTAATTCAAATTCTATTTTGAAAATAAGATTATCATAGTTGCCGTTATTGTTTTGATTTTTTCCCTTTCTGCCAGTCAAGAACATTATAAAAAATAGAAAATCTGGTCAAAAAGGCACGGTCGAGAAGTGGGTGGCGGGGGGGTGGGGGGGGGGGGCAAATACCATTAAAAGCAAGGAATATCTATGGCCTAAGACTAGCTTATGCTTTGCAATATGAAATTTAATGAAGACGCCCCCCCCCCGGGCCACCTTCGCGGTCAGTGAGCATTACCTCTTAGTCCTTAAGAACGTTTGTTTTTTAAGAAAATAAAAGACTCAGTCAATCATTGATCAATTTTCATGTTTTTGTCTGAACGGCTCATCCGATGAAAAAGACTGATCTTTCGAGCCACACACCAAGAAAGACTCTGGCCTGGTTCCTATCAATATTTCCAGCCGTGTTTATGAGGTTATAGACAATCTTCTTTTAGCGATGGATATTTTAAATCTTGAATAAGATTAAAGTTTAAACGGCTTTGAACTTTTACGTAAAGATTCCATGAAAAAAAAAAAAAATCAAAACAGGAAATTCCGAAGTCGCAAATCGACTTTTGGGCCTGCTTAAACCGCTAGTTAAACATCTTTGGGAATACAGTTTCTCTTTAAGGTCTTGAAAAGCTTTATTTTCTACTGTTCCATTGATAACATTGAGTAGCAACAATGGTAGCCGACTTGAAATAACAAACTATTAAAATTCAAGTAAAAATAACGTTAAAGTAACCTTGTTGGGTTAAACAATGCCTCGTTGTGGGAAATTCATTTTTATTTTTACAAAAATAAATGGAGTTTAACTCCTCAATTCGGTTTCGAAAACAATTACTTTGAGGAAGTTTTCCACCAAAAATACGGTGGCTTATTTTCCAGTTCAATTAAAGGCGTTTTACTTATGAACAGAAAATTGAGAGTTTTAATAATCTCATCAAAAGACATTCTAGACATTCTTTTTAAGAAAGTTTGAGTGGTTCTTGGTCAGTTTAAAAATAAAACTGAATATTTGTACCGCTTAAATTAGAGGAAACATTTGAACGAAATCTTCTGTCACTTCAAGGACCAGTCAAAATGAGCACTCTCGCAGCATTTTGCACGTCGTAATTACATCAAAATAAAATTTTGACAAAGTGTTCTGGTCTTATGTTCACAGCGTGAATTTTATTGTGCTCAGAAATGAAAAAACTGCATTATAATGACTTCCTTCCCGATCAGCAATCATTTTTTTTTATTTAAACTTTAAACCGTAATCTTTGATCAACTTGTACGTCATCAGTAATCGCCTTTCCTTTAAAAGCTTCTTTATATTAGATCTATTAACTACACTATTTAGGCATGAAAAAGGATCCAGAGCTATATCTGGCGTCTTTTAAACACCGTTACCTTTTCAGAAAAGAGTCTTCAGTTTTCTGACAGTTTGGATTTGACAGAGTTAGAGACTAAAACTGAGGTCATTAGTTACCCGGGCAAACATGTATATACGCAACTTGCCTGCCACGTAATGGAGTTGTTGGAAAATCTTCATATCATATGGGGTTACCCTTGCTTTAATTAGATTTGTCAGTCAGTGCTGGGACAACATCGAAAATTGAGCAGATTTTAAGTAATGTTCACAAATGAACTTCTTTAGCTTACACATCCTCGCGGAACAACCAGATGCTAAGTTGAACGCTAACCCTCGATATGATATGTGAAGTCTATGTTAACCTCAGTCGCAAATAGCCCCCGGACCTTAAAGGATATAATTCTTTTCATCGAACCGAACTCAGGAAATATATTATGATTTTTATAACAAACGTTGCAATGTTCAGGACTAAAAAAGGATAAGCCCAAGAAATTGTGAAGTTCTCAAGATCCCCAAGAAATGAGCAATCCTGTCACTTTATCAACACCCTAAAAGCTTCCAACGCCTTCAAATGAAAGCCTCTTTATAAACTAAATAATGAATAACCCTCTGTTTTCCCTCGTGTTTGTAAAGTTTTAACATCTAAACAATTCCGCACGCGTGCTTTTTCTTTTTACTTTTAAAATTGACTATTTTTGAATCGCCCATGAAACACTCGGTTCGCCCTTCTTTAAGGAACCTCGAAATAACGAGGGGTCAAGGGGCAGGCAAAATTTGTTGGCCATAAGCAGTTTTTGTTATATCGTTTTTCATATATTTCAATATTACTAGGGTAAAGACAATTGTTCGTCCGAGGACTTCGTTAAATGGAGATTCGTTATATCGAGGTTTGACTGCACCATCGAATGCTCTTGGAAATAAGCACTACTCCCAGGAGCATTTGGAAACAATAGTTTAAACCCATTTATTATTTTTTTTAGGGGGGGGAGGGGTGGGCAAACACAGCGTATTATGGGGGGCTGCAGAATGGAAAGTAAGAAAGTATGCTTGTAGTGTGCCCACAAGACATTTCGAGGGCGCAACTCCAGACCTTTGAAAACTTGAGTACAGCTGCTCTTGGACTGCTAAAAAGACGACCTTGCCAAAATTCAGAACGCTCAGCAGCTGTGCGAGTTTATTGAAACAAAACTGGAAAAGTTTTACATAAGAAAAAGTTTCAAATCCCACAGGACTGGATCAAGTGACACCAAGATGGCCGCCGTTTCATTGTATTGGGACACCAATATGGCGGACGTGACGTCACGTGTTTTAACACATGACGTCACATCCGCTATTTTCGGCTTTATAGAGCGTTTAAAAGCGCTCTATGAAGTCAGAAGCTGCCATAAAATTTCTTGTTATTTGTTACGAAAACTACAGTATTTAACTTACCCTCAACAGTCAGTTTTGCAATGCGACTTCTCGCCTTTCTGCGTATAATACCACTTCTTTTGGCTCTGGCCATCGCAATACACTGGTAATTCCCAGAATCGTCCAAATCTGTGTTATCGATCCTTAGGGAACCGTCACTCCGAATGGTGAATCTAGACTGTTTTTCTGTCCTTATAGTCTGGTTGTTGTGTTGCCATTCATATGTGATTTTCCTGTTTGTTAAAAACACTGAACATTTGAAAATGACACGGCTTCCTACTTGGACTGTTTGTGAAGCTGGATGACGGAGAAACGTTAAACTTGCTGCTGATCCCGTAAGCGAAGAAACTAAGAGAGAACAGTAAAAAAGAGTTGTTAAGCAAAGGAGTGAAAAATGCTTTGATTTCTTGCAAGATAAAGAATTTTCCCAACTGTAGGTGGTGCCAGCTTAGTGAACTTATAGCAAATTCCAGAGTTTTGGAATAGCCTTCTATTCAGACGTTCTTTTGGCTCGTCATGTAATCCTTGCACGTTTGTGCCGAAGGACTCTAATAAGATCTAAGAACGTCTGCGTGGGAGACTACAATAGTTTTGGAGCTGACAAGCCTACTGAGTAAAAAGGTAGTGCTGCGCGCGCTTAAACAGTTGTCATGCGATGATAATCCCGCATTACAGAGTATGAACAGAAATACAATTTAGGGTCTAGATTTTTATCCAATTATCGTCACTTACCTCAAATTAACATTATCGCAAGTAGTCCCAGTTATAATGCGCAAAAATAGTAAGACACAAAACTAAAGAGGGTTTTATTTAATTCACTGTCGCCGGCTAGTATATGCTCCCCATCGCGAGGCAACCCCCAAAAAATCAGATTTGTAGTGCGGAAGGTGGCAGATTCGTTGCCGGTCTTTTTTTAGCTTGCGAAAAAACTTTCCATTATTCGTGAACCAGGATAAGCTGTGCGAAGAGCCCTTATGGCTTTTAGCCCTGCGATGCCTAAAATAAAACGTTTTCTGCGACAGCTAGACTGATTCTAAATTTTGTTTTACATTTTTGTATGAACCCTTTTGGATCTTCCTTTAATGCAGCAGTCCCCCCCCCCCACGCCAATCTCCAAACAACAAATCATATGACCAGTTTCGGTATAATCCCACTTCTGGAATGTTTTTTTAAGAACACAACTGTCATTAAGTTATATTCAGTGGATAAATATTTTTTAACGTTTATTTATCACACCTCGTTGACTTACTTATAATAATAACGTAAGAAGCAGTGGCGGATACAGGGGGGAGGGACTTTTAGACCAAACTGAGGCCTGAAGGGCCGAAAAAAAATTTTTGAGACCGGGCGCCCCCCTTATCCCAGGGTCTGGATGAGCGGTCCCCCCTCTTATCTGAAGGTCTAGATCCGCCACTGAGAAGTAGATTTCGAAGCATACCCCTGCGTTCTGTGCCACGACGTCAGTCAACGTGATACGACTCTGCGTATCGCATGTATATTTATCTTACATTACGCTCGCTTCAATACGTTCCGTACTGGATAGAGTTATTTTCATGGATAGACTAGTTATAGAAGACTCAAGAATCAACATTCTTAGCCTGGCCATGTTTACGTTGAACTCGAAAGTCTATGATGTTAAAAAAGCCATATACCCTGTCTAGCAGTTTGGCGTCTTTTAATAAGCCAATAAGCCAGCATGCAGGTCATTTTAAATAAGTCAATTTTGCTTCTATTTCTAGCTTGTAAAATATTTGATGATGATATGTTTCTTTTTATTTTTCTAGTCGCCACTAAGAGCTAGTGTATTCATTTTTTGCGCACTTTCCATACTTGGAGAAATTCCCAGAGCAATAATGTAATCTGCAGTTCCCAGACTATGAAATCGGATTCATTTGTTATGGCCAGGGTGTATTAGAAAAAAGCAATGTCTTGCCAAGGGAAAGCACTTGCTTTTTTTCAAAGGCCAGTTCATAAGGTTTTGTATTTTAATTTAGCTGATAATCGTAATGATTGTGTTTCGAATTGCAGTGATATTAGTCAGTTTCTTTCACTTCTTACGAAAGCTGTAGTGCTCGCTCCAGGCTCTTTCGCACTTAACAGTAGCCAATGTTTTGTTAGATCAGTCGGCATCGCTTTCTTCTTTAGTAAACTCTCGTTATGTTTAACACATTGACTAAAGAATAAAACCGCAAGAAAAAGAAATGATTTCTCCTCCACGATGGTATAAGGCAATCCGCTTTTGTTCGTGTGTTTGCAATTTAAGTCAAAAAACAAATTTTGGAGGCCTTCGAAATGGCCGGAAACTCGAACCACTGCGTTCATAAGGCTTACTATCAACAATCTAAAAGAAAACATTCCCCAAGAGCACTGAAAAATCTATGACATCTATAATCCTTCTTTAGAAAAGCTACTTGTAACTCGTCTTTGCAATTGTCATCGACTTTTCACTTAATTCGATCCTTGCGAAGTGGGTACATTAAGATTTTCCAAAGCGATAGTGCACTAGTGGTGGGCTTTGGAGCACGACAATCTCTATTAATTTCCTGCGTGCGTTTGAAACAAAACAGCACACAAATTGCGTTTGTATCGCGCGAAAGGTAAGGATTAATTTATAAGAATGTTCATCGATCTCCCCAAAAACCTGTTTCATCCGTAGACACAAACGTTTATAATACCTCACTTCTTAACTGGAAGTTTCATACAAAGTGAAAATAGCCTAAGCCCACAAAGAAAATAGATTAAGGTTGATTTTTTTAGCGGTAAACGAGTTTGGAAATTTTAACATACACTGCAACCAAATGTGATAGGTTTCACACAATTTTGGTTGCCTTTTATCTAAAGCTGTACGAGACGATATCTGGTACAAATGGCTGAATAAGCTCAGTGAAGGGACTTGTCCGCGCCTTAAGAACCGGATATTACAGGCGGTAACTTGTTTCGAGTCGTTTAGTGCACACAGTACTGTTTAGAGGTAAAGTGATTTAGCGGCGAGCGATTGATATCCAAACGATTCTGAAAGGATATTTGTGCCCTGAAAAAGGTTGCTTGTTAAGTCGAAAAAAAAAGAAGTATTCAAAAGAAAAATCTTCGCGTTTTTCTCTTGGGGCGCTGAGACACTAAACGGTGAAGTGCGTTCAGACACCATTCATTGACAACCCTGAGGCTAAGAAGGAAGGGAAAATATGAATTACATATTTTCACTCTCCCTTTCCTTTTGACTTTAGGATTTCGTTCAGAAACGCACAGGCAAGGAGTACATTTTGCCACAGAATGACTGCTAAGTAGACAAAATTTCATCTACAAGCATCAACATGTATCAGTAAACATCAGCAACTTCCTTTTGAATGAACATATTACAGTAAACGGTTTAGTTTTGCTAGTTTAAACTGCGTTCTAGCTGTATAATTACCCTAGAATTATTGGGAGTGTTATAGCTAGAGAAGGAGATTATAAAAAGAGAAAATTGGTTGTTAAAGACAAATATAAAAAAAAATTCGGTTCGGTGAATATAATCAGTTTCCTTCAGTTGTTAATTTGCTAAGTAACAATGTTGTGTTTTGTATATTAACCAAAAGATTCTACAGAGCAATTCCTTGCTTTTATGTAACCGATAAAGGTTGGATTAATTCCCTTTGTCACTTACCTAGGAAGGAAAGTCTAATAAAGCAAGCCATATGCAATCTTTTAGCCATGAAGTGTGGAATAAACAGTCACATAGGAGTAGTATATCCGACGTTGCTTTACCAAAAGATGTAATATATTGTAGCTCTCTTTTTAAATAACCTGTTTGTTGCAACGAAAAGATGTACTCAGATTCACTGTTCGACAGAGGATCGACGAAGTAGTGTTTCGTGCACCAGTTCACTACAACACTGGACAACTTCAGTCTGTGAGGTGCCATTTCAAATATAAACAACTGGCTAAGAAGCTTAGCCGTGGAACATGAGCCAATTTAAAGGATTTTAGCCATTAAATTCAATGAACGGACGCAGCCTCAGCCGATAAGCGCGGTACGGACTTAACGGTCATGACATGTCGCCTTATTGACCAAATTTAACGAATTTGCCGACTTGAGAGTTCGACAGAGTCGATGATGGTAAGGAATAATAAATTATATTTCATAGGGAGTATCAAAACATTACACGGAAACGATGGCACTGATAAGCCATAAGATTATGACTAGAACTTATTTTTTGCGTGATTTTCCTCAGTTGTTAATTTTGTGTTGTCTCGTCAACGATTTTCTGCGTCGCGGTATAACATACGTGGCATTGTTGAGAGCGCTAATTTGTTTTTATTTGGGAATAAAACATTAAAAAACTCCGTTGCCCTAAAGCAAGTATGAAAAGTAGCTACGGCGGCATTAACAGATTATTATCATTTGTTGTTGTTGTTTTTGTTGATTTTTTTTTGGCAAAATTGAAGTAATGGACGTTAACTATATTTGAACGACATACCCACCCAAAGGCTTGAATTATCTACTGATTATTCGCTTCTAATAACCTTACATCCTTTGCTGATTAAGTTAGATCTATCATTTGTTTGCCTATCTTGTGAATTTTTTTTAACTAGTCGTGGATTACGTAAACCTGTACTTTGTCGTGACGTTACACTAAAAGCGTTGATCTTTTTGCTATTTCTGCATTGATTTTCAGCTGCCATGTCATAAAAAAATATTTTTGAGTAAAAGTGAAAAACTGCTGATCGCGTGCTCATCGGCTTACTAACCGCTTTGTGTTCAACACACAAGGACCGACAACTATTATTAGATACAAGGATCGTGTTGGAAATAAAAAGCTTTTAAATTGCCATCCGTAATCACGCGTGTACTAAAAAAATAGTTTTCGAGGGTCTAATTGTTCATTTGAAGTATCCAGGCAAATTCACGCTGTGTTTACTTTTGTTTGGGTATAAAAATATTGCACAGCCAACTGATGCCACAAATTGATGCCTAAAATTAATGGAGTCGACACAGTTATTCTGATAATTGCATTAATTCTATGACTCGGAAATATGATTTATGGACTTCTACATCACATAGCAATTAAAAAGATAACAAAAACGAAAGGTGAAGAGGAAAAATTTGACGAAATGTCGGGAAATGCTTTTGCGGAAATTTTTGTTTGCCACTTTTTCCTCGTCTCTGTTATTTTTGGACTGAATCTCTCAGAAAAATAATGTTCCTGACGCTATTTAAACCGCATGATTCTTACGTGAAAATATCTTGAGCTTCCTGTTTCGTTAAGATATCTAGAGGCTTAATTAAGACAATAAAATAATTAGGTGGAGTAAGCAAGTTATTCATCCAGACAGTTTTCTTTCAGTCGTTCATGGAACGGAAATTGACTGGATGTTTCAGTCACCGACGCTTTTTGTGTT